TTGGTTCCCTTCATGGTCCAGACCAGGGTCCGGGGCGGAAAAGCATCAAACATCTTGCTGCACAGGCCCTCAAGTGTTTAGGCGAAGGGTCTCCTTTCATCGTTCCATATATCCCTGCAACCGGGGTGAGCCGGGTCTGGTGTCCGCTCTGTTGCGAATGGCCCTCGATAGCGGACGAAGTGGCCCCAGCCGGTGTGATGACTCGCTGGCTGGTACGAGCAACCTGACCCCATGGCCTCCCCGATGGCCCTCGCGGCCAGTTTCATCTGGGCACGTGGTGTCATCCTCGAGCCGCTGCACGCAGTTGACCAGATCATTGGGTGCGATGTTGGTCAAGTACACCGGCCATCTGGTCCGCCGCAGCCATGGGTTGGCTTCATCGTGCTCCCCGGCCTGGATGACATTGCTGGTCTGCCGTTGCTGTTCCCGGTAAAACCGCTCCAGCTCATCAATGACATGGCTGGCTCTGTTCTGGTCTGGCGTGCCGGTGTGCTCAGTAGTCTCCTTAGTCTGGATCTGTATGTAGTGGGAGCCCTTGCGCGATGCAAATACCTGCTGGAACTGCACCTTCTGGCATGATCTGTCCACCTCATCCTGTGCTGCCGTACGCTTTTGTGGCGCTGTACGGCCACGGCTGGGATATGGCGACCAGCTGTGCTTGTTCTGCCAGTGCTTGCGCATGGTGTTCATGTTCCCTGCCACATACTGGCACTGGGGATCCCGCTGGCACCTGTAGCCATCTTGAATGGGTAGTTCCGGGATTGGTTCATTCAGTATTGTGGGCAGTGTTAACTGTGTAGTATGTGGGCAGTGTTAACTGTGTAGTATCTCGAGCCACATTGTCCCACTGTTCAATGTTCTCCTTTATCTGCTGAACCACCGCATGCTTTAGCTGATGGGCCTTGCCTTTCAGATGCCGTTCAATCTCTGTTGGCCACACAGCGTGCTTGCACCGGCGGCATATGATAATGAGGTATGATTCACAGTGGATAAATAATCGATGTTCCATGTCGATGTTGGGTCTGTCTTGTGCATTGAATATATATATATTTCCTTCATTCAGTGTCTTTGTGTGAAACTTGACAGATCTGATCTGGTGTGAATGTTTGTTTTTCTGTGGTTAAAATCACTCCAGGATGAAGCCTTTCAGTTTTCTTATATGTTTTGCTATTTTTATTTACTTTGTTGATCTTGCACCGCTTTGCACCGCTCCGTTGCCTGGGTGAAAATATATATATATAGTTGGGTCTGGTTGGGTTGGTGGCTTACCCCATCAAACATCGCACCTCAACTCATTGACTTTGACACCACAATGTAACCCCTTCCCGGCGGAATTATCGCTTTTGATTTGGATATGTTGTATTCCATATCCACTACGGCCTACATGCAAAGTTTGAAGTAATGGGGTGGCTGGCTGCCGCAGAAGGGAAGGGAAGAGGGAGCTCGACCGCGACCGGGCCACTGCGGGCACGCGGAGGCGGGAGCGGGAGCACGCACGGGCGGCCAATCAGGGACGGAGAAGATCGGACGGGGGCGCGTCGGACCACACACTAGAGTATAGTTGAAGCCTCATTCTTGGTGATGCTTTCATTTATGTTGTTGTCTGTGCTCTTGCTCACACTTCTGGCCATTCTGAGACTGCATGTGCTGTTGAATCTGATGTGGGTTTCACCCTGCTGGCTCTCCATCTCTGACTCCTGGCTAAGCCACCATGTAGAAATGCAACACCATGCTGGATCACGGAAGCGAGAGCGACCCTTGAGCTCCTTGATTGAAGATGACTCTTCAAAGATCAAAAGATCATGGAGGCATCATGGCCGGGCTCCTCCAGAGTCAGTCAGAGTCAATAGGGATACTCCCCAGTGGACTA